GTAATAAAAGTAAAAATAATTACAATTAAATACTTTATTTTAAGAGTCAATCAATCGTCATTAATTACACTGGGGACTAGTTTTTTTTTTGTTTTTCGTAGCATGAGATTTTTTTAAACATATTTTAGATATTTTCGTACCGCTGATTTTAAATCTTCAATCGGTTTCCTCTCTATGCTACAGTTTTTTTTAAAAATGACATTTTTAGTCTATTTTTTGTCGAAATGTACAAGTTTAAAGATGTTAAACAGGGGGTCACATAAATGCTGCAACCAACTTGTAGATCAGTTAAAGCACATCATCAGGATTAAAATTGCGTTAAAAATCATGCCAGGAAATGTTATTAGCTATGCTAAGAGCTATATTAAATGCTAAGGGCGTATCTCCTATTATGAACTGTTTCTTCGTTATCTTCAGAGCAGATCATAATAGGGTCCAGGCATGGGTTCCTATGCAATTTTGATCCTGATGCTGTGCATTACCTCCCCTAGAAGTTGGTAGCAAAATTTACGCGACTCCTTGTTTAACGTTTTTAAACTTAATATTTCGACAAAAAAATAGACTAAAAAAATCATGTTAAAAAATTAGTAGCTTTAACCCTTTAACTGGCCCTTTATTTCTAGTAAAGGTAAATTAAAGTATTTTTGGAATTGAAATTGTTTTAAGAACAGTAATTGATATTAAAAAAAACTCATTTAGTTAATAAAAATGTCATTTTTTTGGTGGTAAATATATTTAACATGACCTAATAGGAACTTACTGACTTTTATTTATTTTTTATTTATAAAATAAATTCCTTAAATGCTACAAACTTCAAAAGGAATTATGTATTTTATAACTTTTATACGTTTTTTAAAAGTGACAAATGGTTACCAATTTTATTCAAACTCACTTCAAGAAAGCTGAAGTTATTGAAAAATGGAAACCTAAATTAAAAGTGGTAAAACGTGGTGGTAAGTATACTTACCACGGCCTTCAAAAGGGTTAAGAGGGAAAAAAAATTGAAATCCCCACACCCGATTTATGCTATTCAAGTATTGCATAAATGCAACAAAACATTTATTCCCCAATGTTTACATTATTATTATGCCCTTTTATTGTATGTATATTAAGTGAAAATTTAAAAAAAAATTGTAATTAATTAATTATGCTACCACTTACCTTTGTTGTAATTTAAATTAAAAATTTTGATAAAGATTTCTGAAGTTATTTTTATTCGAGTTCCCGAGGGAAATTTTATTAGTGGTTGTAAATTAACGGTAGTAGTAAGAATTTCCTTCGTTTTTTTCGTGTATAAAAAATGTCAAGCATTGTGGTGAGTCGCTTTTTTCATATGGACATAAATTTTAAGAGCGAGTAAGTTTTAGGTTGTCTCCAGGAGCAGTTAACCACAAGGACTGATCAACAAACTTAATTTCAGAAGCAATCGGGAAGTGGACTTAATATTTATATCAATTTGAAACTAATTTAATTATAAAATATGCGTTTAATTTTATTACTCCAAAAATATAAATTTATTACTAGAATTATCTGATTCACTAAATGTTCAATGAGTTTAAATTAAAGCCTTAGTAAAGTAACATGAAAAAATGCTTGCTTTCTGGATTTTGAAGATGAAGCTGGGACAAACGTCGAGGACGTTTCGGAGGAAGAGAAGCAGTCCTGTTGCTTATCAGATGAAATGGCTCTCCGATTGGCTGACTTGGCTGTCAAGGTAAGCATATTAGCAATGGCATTATTATTTTTCATTCAAGATGATATGAGATCAAACCATTTAAAACCTTTCAGATTGAAAAATGCTACAGATCTCATCGAGATATCGAATGGGGTTTTTGGAAAAAGAATCTCTACATATTTCAGGTAAAATATGATTTTATTCTTTTGGGTTTGGTTTTTAATAATGGAATGCATTTCATACTTTTAGATTTCAGTTTCGTTTTAATGAATTCTATATATTTCATGTCAGATGAACTACATCACTTCATTTTTTAAAAAAATATAATACCAGAAATGACAACTTGCTCCGGGCAGAAAATATACATTTTAAAGTGGTAGAATTGTGATTCTTGGTTTAATAAATTCAATTTAGTAGATTTTTAAGCACCACTATTTCTAAATAATTCGTTGGCTTATATAATTCACCACTTTATAGTGCATATGTCGTGCTGCGCATTTCAAAAAGCAATCAAAAAAGTCTAATATTTGCAAAATTTACTTTGTAGTTATTTACCGTTTTTTTAAAAATTATTTTGGCATGTCTGGAGCAGTTGGCATCTCTGTAATACATGTAAAATACATTTAGTTTCGTTTAAATAAATTCTACATACTTCATAGCAGACATACTACATCTCTTTATTTTGTTTTAAAATAATGACGTATGTACGGTACAGTGCGCAAGATAAGAAATGGACCACCATGATTAACTTTTGATCCAATGATCGGATTTTTACGATCTGGGACTCAATCTTAATGGTTCATGGGGTTAAACTCAAATATGCTAATTAATTAGTGCAAACGATATTTTGAATTACGAAATTAGACATAAAAAAGCTTTTTCTCAGAATAAGCATACCTTTTTTGACGGATTCAGATTTTTGACCTCCCAAAATATAGGAGGTAGCTGCAATCTGGGAAATATGGTCCTAATAGTTTGGTCACGAGAGAAAAGTAATAGAGTTTGGTCACCAACATCTCGGGAACTTTTTAAGCGAATTGAGAAATGTTTGCAAATCGTTTATCCAAAGACAATTCCAGGTAAAATGCAATTTTTAGTAAATATTTATAATTTTATTTAATAATAAGTAGAAAATATTTTGAACTGTAAGGTATAAAATTTTCTTCATCATTTAAAAGAATGTAATTTCAAACGGTATAATATAAAATTTGGGCGAAATTGGTCGAATAGTTTGCGAGAAATCGAATTTTAAATAAGTCGTTTTTTTAAAATTTGGTTTTTCAGGAACTATTCGATGGATTTTGCTAATTTTGCATTTTGCCAACAAACATTGAATTTTTTAAAATGATGTAAAACATTGTAACTAAAATGATGTAAAACATTGTAATTAAAATGATGTAAACATTGTAAAACCTTACAATTCAAATTTTTAATAAATAATTATTAATAATTAAAATTATAACTATTAATAAATAAAATTATAAAAAACTATTAATAAATAAAATTATAAAAAAATCATAAATGTTTACAAAAACTTACATTTTGCATTGGAATTATCTTTGGGTACACAAATTTTATATTTGTGTCAAAATTCTTTCAATTCGCTTTAAAAGTTTTAGGTATATGGCGAAATATGCAAAAAGGTAAAATTAACATTAAGGGGTTCAAACTTTGGATCGCTCTCCTGACCTAACGGAGACAATATTTCAAAGATTGCAGCTACCCTCTATACCTTAGAGTTAAGAAATCTGAATCTATCGAAAAAAATATATATTTACTCAAAGAAAATACGTTTCAGTGTCTGATTTCATAGCTTTAAATATCGTCTGCAGTAATTAGTTGGCATATTTGTGGTCACCCGTTTGAACCTTTAAGACTGAGTCCAAGAACGCGAAGATCTGAACGATAGATCAAAAGTTATTTAGGGTGGTTCGTTTTCATTTTGCGCATTTAGAATTAGTTTCTTTAAAAAAATTGCCCCAAAAACCTTGCAAGTGTTTCTGCATTTAATTTAAAAAATTATATTTTGCTAAAACTTTAGTTTTATTTCCTTGCATTAATTGTCGCTTATAAATTAAAGTTGCAGTGTTTTGCTGGATCCAGCTTTATTTGTTTTCAATAAGTTTATTTTATTACATTAATTATTAATTTGATGATGTTTTTATAACTAAGTTCACATATAAAAGCTTGCATTTTAGAAAAATATATTAAGTAAAAAAATTGGCTTAGTAGTTAAATAAATAATATTCTTGCCAGTTTTTTGTTTTTCTAAAACTGTAAATGGCAGTTAAATGAGAAAGTAAAGTACGAATGAGAGTATGAATGTTTAATTTATTGTTGTGGTAATATTAAACAAATGAAATAGAAAATTACAAGTTTTGCCGACTTTAAATATTATAATAAAATCTCCCAGAAAACTCCAGATGAATTGGTAGCTATGAAATAACAATTAATTATCACTTTCTTAGTATCAGGTCATCACCTCCTACATCAGAAAGCCTCCACACGCGATTTTATAAGTAGTCTGAGCAGATTATTTAAAAAGCCAACCAGTTGTGCGCATGAACCCAAATTTTATTTTAAAAGAGCTTGAGAGAAATCTATGATGTGTATTTGAGAATTGAATCTGTATAGCAGTTGACCAGTAAATATCTCAGGTCAATCATATTCATAAATTTAAAAAAAAATTATACATACATTTGCTACCACTCTCTAATTTTTCATAGATTTTCCATTGAATGGCTCTTTCGTAAACTGGTTTACCTTTATTGTGGTCTGATCGGACTACCGATTAAAAATCGCGGGGAGGCTTTCAGTTATAGGAGGCGTTGATCATGTACCTAAATGAAAATTTAAAACATTTAGTAATCATAAATTAAATTTTTTTTTTTTTATTAGTTGTAATTTATGCTTGTTTAACGTACGAACGTGTTTTGAATCAACAGTCTCGACCAGTAACCAGTGGGTTTGGAGAAACTGACTATGAAATCGATCATGAAATGGATGCACATTTGAGAATTGAAGATGAATTCTTTACAGTGGCGAACGTTGGGTATGGTAGCTAAACTAATTTTTAAATTTTCAAATATTTGTGAAATAAGTATCCATTTTATATTACAGAAGACTACCACTCGAAAATATTTATCCTCTGTACGGAGCAAGCAAACATCTCCTGAGATGCCAACTTGCTCCGGACAGCAAATATATATTTTCAAGTGGTGGTTTATCAATTGTGATTCTTGGTTTAATAAATTCAATTTAATAGATTTTTATCCCCCAATATTTCAAAATAATTCATAGGCTTATATAATTCACCACTTTTCAGTTCGTTAGTCATGCTATGCCTTTTAAAAAGCAAGCAAAATCAGTCAAATATTTGCAAAGTTTACTTTGGAGTGTCCGGAGTAGTTGGCATCTCTGCCTCTGATGAATATCATATTATTTCACCATTTCTTAGCAACCAGAATTCCTAAAACAGCACAGAGCTAAAGCACATAGACATTTGTTTTCAGCGGTGTTTGCTAGGTTGCCAAGGTTTTACTCTTATGTTGGCTAAATTGCCAAAAATTATGAAAATTTTGGAATTTAAATGTCTAGTACTCTATAAAACATTTCGCAAAAAGCGTAGTAGATGGCAGGCTTGTGTTTATGGTTGGATTTAGTGTTGATATCGTACTGTTTGACCGTGTTCATTACTAATTCATTTCTAACATGTAAATAGCTGAATATTGTGTTTCTCTTTCAAAAAATATTATTTTTTAAAACAAACTGTATACGTGGCAACTAAAAAATTCGTATAGTAAAAAAACTCCGAAGTGCCATGCTACCTTCAGAGAGACGTTGGAAGTTTGTTAAATCTTTTTTCTTTCTTATTCGATCTTTTTAATATTTTTTTTTGTTTATCATTACTTAATAAAGCCTATTTTCTTTTAGAGAAGTAATGCCTGGTGCTCAGTCTCCTTTAAACTTGGATGTGTTATTCAAATTCATGCGTTTGAGTTTCCTGGTAATTTTTTCTAATTTTTCTATTTAGTTTTTATTACAAGTTTTTAATTTTTTTTAGATATTATAATATTACAAGTGGGCTGCACCCCCTGCTCGCTAACGCTCGCCAGCCCCCGAAAATTGCTACTCAATGTTATATGGTTTGCTCCGCAAACCA